TGTAATAACAAGAGTTTCGTCAAAAGGTTGATGGGGCTTGGGAGGCTCAACAAGGGTGAGCACATATGTAATTTACCTGTTTGAAATGGCTAAGGCACTTCCCCCAAACCTGAATGGGATTGTTAATGGCCAGACAGCTCAGGGCATTTTTTTGCCTCCTATTGGCCAAACACCTGAACAGCTGTAGGCTGTTCTCCAAACTAATAAGGCTTCTTGTACCCTTTGATATTGTACCCTTTGAAGTGTATATTTCCACCTTGCCTTGGGACAAATTGTGTTTAATAAAGGCATAGGTCCTGAGACAAGGAGAGTCTTCTAGCTTCTTCAACGGAAGCTCATCTGACCCCCAATGCCTTTCAAAACAATCTTTTGTCTCTGGACTCTTTAATCATTTACGCACAGCCACTTTCTCCAGATGCTGAACCAACCCTTTGTAAGGCTGCGGAACAACTATGACGCCCTAACGAGGAACACGGCAACAGCTGAATCCTGCCTATCTTATGGTTTAAAAGCAGGAGCCTGTTGGTCCCAGGATCCCTGCCTTGCCTCAGTCATTCCATGAGTTGCTCTTCTGTGGGTTAGCTTCTGTACCCTCTTTTATCTCAGCTTCTTTCTTGTGTCCCCCTCCCCCCCCCCATCCCTTGGTTCTCTGCACTGGTTTTCCTACCCCCCCCCCCCATCCCTTGGTTCTCTGCACTGGTTTTCCCCCTAATTTGATCTATATTCTCCTTACAAACTATTGCTGAATTGCCACCTCTCCTGGGAAATAGAAATGGTCTCTCCTCAATATTTTACAAGTTTCTCTCATCCTCAACCAGGCCTAGGGCCCCCATGTCCTGCCCCTTCTTTCCCCCACACACACACACCTGTGCCCATGACTCTTTTGTTCTTTCTTCCCTCTAATTTTGTGACCTGACCAGATTCTCTACATCTTGTCTGATCAGGTCAAAATGCAGACTCCTGCCCTAGGGCCCTGTTCTTCTTGCCTAGTTTATTATACTTCCTGAGGGACTGAGAAGAAGTGAATATGAAGGGACCCTTGCCTTCCCTCTCTCCACAGCTTCAGCCCCACCTGTGAGTCCCTGCATATTCCCTTCCACTAATCAAGGACATCCCTTCTCCAAGTTGCATTAACAACCTTTAGGACTTTACCTTCCATATGTGTTCCTCCTTCAGGATCTTTCAGCAGCCTCAGTGCCTTTCCAAGGTGCCCTGAGTCCCTGATCCCTTCCCATGGGGCAATCCTGACCCATAGGACTTAAGAAACTTCCCAGGATCCTGTCTCTTCCCTCACCATGACCTGAGATGAAAGGCTTGCCAATACTCCAAATGCAGGATCCCAGCAACTGATTCAACCAAAAGAAAATCAACCCATTTTAAGATGGCCGATGGTCACCTTTAGACAATGTCACCTTTAATTCATCACCGAAAACTGAAAGTTTAAAATTTAAGTATAGATTGATGTACTCCAGGAATGTGAACCATTATGTGGGACACACTTCTGCCACCTCAACGCTCCTTTAAAAAAGAAGGGATAAAACTCTCTGTAGCATCACAAAGAGGTGGGCACAGCTGAAGGAAAATACATAATGCAATATTGTCTATGAATGTAGGAACCAAATCAAGAAATCGTCCACTAAATGACAGCAGCAGTTGGTTTATGAGATCTCACCATGATGGCAACATACAAGATATCTATCCAGATCCCCATTCAGTAATTTGCCCAGATTCAAAGGAACAGCAAAAAGTAATAGATAAGTCAGGAATGAAAACTTTCTTAATTTCCTTATTGCTTCAGCTGAACTTATTCCAAAATGAGAGAATCTATTTTTTCAGGTGTTTTGATTTTATGTCTGACAAATAAAACAGGACAACTTAAGGTGCACAATATGGTGATTTGATCTACATATTCATTGGGAAAGGATCTCACAGGATCAAGGTCATTAATACATCCATCCCTTCACATCACCTCAAACTTGTTTCTGTTTGTGTATGGCGGGAAACCTTAAGATTTTGGAAAGTTATTGGTGTCATATTAGAAAATCAGGATTAATTAGAAAAGCCATTGTAAATTGTTTTAGAAAAAATAGGAAACAACTATAACTGAAATATGGTACATTGAATGCGGGGTAGTTAGCACATACTCATAGTCAAAAATTTTCAGGAAAATATTCTTCTGATAGCATTCAAAATTCCAACAGGTTCCATCAGAAGAGATAAGGAGAAAATTGAACAATTAATAATTTAAAAAATTAGACAAGGGTGGTGTATGCTGCTCCATATAATTCCCCTAGTAAAATGGACTTATTTCCCAGACATGACCCAGTTAACACTGACTTCTGAGGTTGAACCTAAGAGAGGATGAAACAACCACTTCCTGACTGAGGCAGACCGGAGAGAATTAAGGTCATGGGCTGGACCAGCCTGGAGAGGCAGACCCTGGGAGGAGCAGTGGCCAGGCTGAGCTCCAGGTGCAGAGACACAAAGGGTGGAGCTCTGAGCATAAGCACAATGGAAGAGAACTTATCAATTATATAAAAAAGACAAGGGAGCTCACTGGGAGATAAAACATATGAAAATTATAAAATGGGGGACTCTAAATTTTGTTCGGAAAGATCTGAAGGGAGCTATAGGATGGTGGGGTAGGGGGTGTACAGTGAAGCCTCTGACCACACTCTATATCTTACTTTATTCTGATTTTTGTGCCCAACACTCACTCCAGATTGGGCCTTAGCTGTTTCTGCCAACCCGAAGGAACAGCCCAGAAAATAAAGCTGATAGGAGACAGAGATCTGCACACCTGGAACCAAGAAAGCTCTTGACTTTTGTTCTAAAAGCTCTGCATTGAAGTAAGAGTTGGTGGGGGCAGGGAGGAAGGAAAGGGTTAATTCTGATATTTGCACTCAACACTGACTCTAGATTGGGTCTAAGCTGATTCTCTCCAATTCTTAGGAGCAGCCCAGGAAATAAAGCCACAATAAGGTAAAATACCTAATCTTGTCACCACTCCTTAAACTGTTTTTGGTGTTTTTTAATAACGAACAAAATTTGCTGTCTCGAGGCAAAATGAAAGGATGTTTGCCACCTTGTCTCCACAGATAAGAATGTGGTCCTTCAACAAACACTCATAGTGAACATAGGCATCAAAGGGAGATGCTCCCAGCAAGATCCCCAGGGATGATCTGTGCTCCTCCCCACAAGCACAGTCAGGGGTAACTTAAGGTCAATGGCAGGACAAGCAGGGACAAGGATCCCATAAGAAGTTGGTTGTCCAGCAGAAGCCACAGGTGGAGGGACATCAAGGGTGGGGCCACAGATCCAGGTCCTTGACCAGGGTGACCATGGGGGCACATTCTTCAATAATAGAGGAGAGACCAATGAGAAGGTCTGTGGGAATTTATATGTATGCAAATTATAAAATGGAAAACTACCCAGAATGCCCACATTTTGAAATCAAACAGGCTCCACCTGGGCCTGATTGGTTGACTTACTTTGAACACAAATCTCTGGGGAAGGAAGTGTCAAAAGGCCCAAATAGGATTATTTGCCTTTATTCCTCAACGCCTCTTAGTAAACACTTAAGGGATGTGCCTCAAACTCTCCTCAATCAGATGACAGCGGGAGAGAAACTGAAGAAAATAACAAGTATCGACGAGGAGAAGAGGCTAAAGGAACACAGCCCAGTTCATGTACATCCATGCCCAGGAGACACGGTGATCTCCGAAGATGTAGAGCTCTTTGTGCTGACATGGAATGACTCAGGGCAGTGATTTGAGTCAAAGGCAGAATGCAAAGTGAACTAGTCCCACAGGGACAAAATGGGGGTCTCTGTTCCTGTGAGTTCCCTAGAGGATTCACTTCCCAGACACAGAGGCGACAATGGTGGGAGATGGTTTACCGGGAGCTAGGAAGAAGAAAGAATTTTCACAGAACCGCAGCTTCAGTTGGAATCGTGAAAGGTCCCGGAGCTGGGGGAGGTCGTTGGTTGCACACACTGTAGGTGGACTTCATGCCCTTGAACCTAGATCAGTGTATTACTAGTTGATTTATCTCCCATTCATGCCATCACATTAAACAATGCAAAGTGCAGAAGGAAGCAGCAGGGATAAGGGGAAACGTTGGTTTTTCTTACAGAAGCTAAGTATAAGAAATGGATCGAAGTAATGTGTAACTGACTGAAAACACTACAGGGCCCAGAAAAGTGTGTCCCTCCAAGACTCGGATTCTTCCATGAGATTATGCTAATTTGATAGTCTCCGCCCACATGTGATGTCAACATGAACCAGCATAAAAATCCAGGAGGACTGTAGATTCTGCCAGCCTTCCTCAGACAGTCTCCTTGGAAGGAAGCAGCGGCAGATCCAGGGAGCTGGGCCAGTACCCACTGTCCTGAGGATCTGCTAATGGACTGAGAAGCTAAGAGGGATTGGAGGTGAGTTTCCTTTCTTTTCCTTTTTCTAAAAGTGGCTGTTATTGGTTTTAGAGAAAGAGGGAGGGAGAAGGATACATCCAGAAACATGGATGATGGAGAAACATGTGCCTCCAAGCACCCCTCCTTCTGCGGATGGAGCACCCAACTCAGGTATGTGCCAGGACAGGGACTGGAACAGGTGACCTCTTGGTTCCTCTCTGGATGCTCAACAACTAAATGACACCTGCTTGGTGGGTATCATTTCACTTACGTCCTTTCATTCGGATTGTCCATCACACAGTATGTCCAGACACACAGTAAAAACAAACAAACAAAAAACTTGTGATTGGACTTAAGGCAGTAGATCAGCATTCTTTCCTTATCACGATTAATCCTGTAGAGACGTGGACAAATTGCATCTTTTCCATGCTCATTATTACGCCGGGTATAAATTCAAAAAGAAAAAGTAGCACAGCATTGTAATTTGTGGGAGCTGCTGAGTAAGCAGTTATGAAAACAAGGTAGATTGAGCTATGGGCACTTTCATGTATGATTTATTCAGACTTAGTTCAAATATATTTGTTTCACACTTACTAAAAACTAGAAATTATAGGCAACTGAATATAGAATTATTTTAAAAATATAAGATAAAGAAAACAAACACAGAAGAGTCCACAATTTCATCTGTGAAGCTCCCAGGCTAGCAGACAGAACGTATTTTCATCTGGGTGAATTTCATTTGAAATTTGCCTCCTCTTCTGGCCAATGGGAACTTTGAGTTTCCCAGAAAGAAGCATATTTTACTTTGATTTTCCAGAAAATCTCCCACAATCATAATGCACTGATGATGGTGTAAGCCCCAAGAAATACTGTCTTTCTCTGTCCTTCTAGGACTCAGAGGATAGAATGAATCCCAATCTCCTCTTTTAAATCCCTATTTATGCATGCACATCCAATTTAGCAGGTAAGTCTTAGCTGTGTCGCCTTAGAGTCCTGCCGTGGGGATGGGCAATCAAGAGAGGACAAAGGATTCAGAAGAAGGGATTACAGGGCAGACAGTTGTTTTTCCTGAGGGCATGAGGTCTCTTGAGCAGATTTGAAGCAGACAGATGGTGCCAGTGCAGCTTGCCCTGTGTGGTATTTTTAATTTTTCTCTTTCCTTTTTCCACAGGAGATTTGCAAGTCCTTACCTGAGACAGAAAGACTTGAAGGTCATAGGTGTAGCAGAAGGCAAGACATGATTTAGAACTTCTGCCCTTCACACCCTTATGGCCATGAAAGGGAAGCAGCCACAGAGGGCCCCAGGAGCACACAAGGCTCCCCCACCAGAGGAGGACAATCCCAGGGTGAGTAGAAGTCTGGCTCTGTGCGGGACCTGGGGAAGTGGTACCCTTGATGACTGAGACAGGGTTTGGACAAGGCAAGTTCTGTGTAAGTAAGTGGGGTGTCTTTTCCCACGCAATGGTCCCCTAACCCAGGACATCCTCACCTCTCTGACCGGTCCCTTCGTATTCGCAGGCACAACCTTACGTCTTTTGGTTTTTTAACATATTTGATTGATTTCAGAGAGGAAGGGACTGTGAGAGAGAGATAAAAACATCAATGATGAGAGAGAATCATGGATAGACTGCCTGCTGCACACCTTCTTGGGACTGAGCTCACCGCCCAGGCATGTGACTTTGGCCAGAATCGAACCTGGGACCCATCAGTCTGCAGGCTGACTCTACTCATTGAGTCAAACTAGCTTCTCCCTTCTTAATAGTGTCCTGTGCAGCCTGCTTTTTTTATCCATAACTTTCCACTTGCTTCTATATATAGTTCATCCCTTCCATACTTTCTCATATGTTCCTAACCTGGGCTTTGGGATCCATCCTAATACCTAAAAAAATAGCTACCTAGTGATCCCTCCCTGGTGTGACCCACATTCCACCTCCATCAAGGTGTCCCACTGTTCCCCTTTGAATTGTGCCTGTGTTTTGAGCTGATTCTCTGACTTCCTTCGCTCCTCCAGGTTAGATGTTGGAAATGTGGGGCCTTTGGGCACAAGGCAAGCAGCCTCAGGTGTCCCATGAAGCGTCAAAGTGGGGCTTTAGCCCCCCATGCCCTGGGCTCCAAGGATATGAAGGAGAGCCAGAATCCTTGGAATCCGAGGGACCTGTGGAACGGAGGGCCCTTGAACAAGGCTGCTAGGTTAACCCAGCAGAGAGTTCGGTGAGTTTCATGGGTGAGTGCTGCCAAACTTTGGGGGGAAATCTAGGGAACCGGCACCCCTTACCTCTCCAATGTCTGCATTGCCACCTCCAACCAAAGACAGGGTCCTGGAGAGTTTGAGAAAGCTACCTGTGGCCTCCAGGGGTACATCAGAGTTTCATTCCCTTCCTGGGAGTCATTGAGAGTTAATGGTGGTGGGGGTGGGTGAGACATGGTAGATCTCTGCCAAGGACAGGCACAGAGACAATGGAGGAATAGGAAAGTCCTTTGTGAAAAATCCTTGAGTGCCCACAGAAAGGGGAGGATGTGAACTGAGGCAAGAAGTCTAGTAAATGCATAGACCCCACATCCTGGTTCACACTAATGCAGGGAAAGGGACCAGACCATGGGAAGGCTTGTTTCATTGGGGACAGGAGTGGAGGGACTCATACTACGTTGTATCCTCCAGGAATGAAGAACACAGACAGGATCTTCATCAGAAATTACAACAGAGAGCCCGAGGAGGGCCCCAGCACAACTGGAAGGACAAGACAGAACCCTGTGACTACATGCGGGTGAGTGTCCTCGAGTTCTTGGCCTTTTATTGCATCAGGGTCACAAACTCCCTCTGGGACTCAGAGAACACCTTACTCCCCAGAGAGAGTCCTGTGCAGCATGCTTTGTGTCCAAATCTTTGCATGTGGGTCTATGTATTCATGCTGAGAACTGGGTGCCTTTCACCATGTTCCTTCCCAACTAATATGGGCTTTGGCATGCACAACAACATCTTAATAACAGGTACTAGGTAAGCCCCCTGGTGTATATCAGTCTCTGCAACCAATATTCCACCTCCATAATCTGTCCCCGTTTCCTTTGAAATGTGTCCCTGTTGTGGGCTAACTCACTGACCTCCTTTTCTCCCCGCAGGTGAGATGCTGGAACTGCAGGGAATTTGGGCATAAGGCAAGCAGCCACAGGTGTCCACTGAAGCAGAGGAATAGGGCCCTAGCCCCCCAGGCTATGGGCTCCAATAAGATGAAGGAGAACCTGAATCCACGAAATCCCCAGGTTCAGCAGAACCCAGGATGCTTTAACAAGGCTGCTAGGAAGACTGAGCAGAGAGCATGGTGAGCATTGTGGGAAGGTGGAGAAAACATTGGAGTGGAATCTATCAAGCCTTTGTCCTTTCTTGCACACTTCCTTGCCATCTCCATTCAAAGTCAGAGCCTCAGAGCAAAAAAATCCCCATGTCTTCACTGGTCACACTCCCAGGTTCATGCAATTCCTGGGCAATCAATGAGGGTGAATTGTTGTAGGGTTGGTCCTGGGAGCACCTTTAATCTATAAAGGTGTCAGGCAGAGAGGAAACGGAATGAAAGAAATGTCTTTCAGGTAAAACCCAAGTGGATTCCTTGGGGTGATCTGAGATGAGGCAAAGATCGCTCTAGTAAATGCACTGGCCTTCGCTTCCTAGATCACAAGAAGTGGGAATGGATGTGGGCCAGGGAAAGGATCGCTTTCATTGGAGAGAAGGAATGGATTGTCTCACATATCATGTTATGTTTTGCAGTCAGGAAGAACAGAGACAAGACCCTTGCTGGAGACTTCCCTGGAGACCCACACGCAGGCCCCAGAAAAATGGGAAGGAAGAGAAAGAACGCTGTGCCTATGTGAGTTTGAGTGTCCAAAGGTGCTGGGATTTTCATTGCATCGGGGTCATCCTACTTTCCTCCTTGTCTTCTCTCTTAGGGGTTGGTGAAAGTTCAACAGGAACTCACATGCTTTCTCTAGTGTAATTTCCTAATTCATTTTTCTTGATGTCTTTTATTTGGCCTATACTTGCATGTGCCCCAACAATACAGGATGAGGCAAAAGTGGGGTTACAGTATTCCCTTGGAAAATGGGAAAGTAATAAGTCATAATACAGCAATAAGCTCTGTACAGTGGTGCCTCACACAACGAACTTAATTTGTTCCAGGAGCAAGTTTGTTATGCGAAAAGTTCGTTATGTGAAACGCGTTTTCCCATAACAATACATGTTAAAAAAAATAATTCGTTCTGTAGCATAAAATATGCTAAGATGACATAAAAAAGATAAATTTTTTGTTATTATTTTTATTTAGATACATCTAAAAACATAATTTTTAAAAAAAACACACACACATTTTTTTAATTTTAAGACAGACTAAGTAGAGTCTACCGAATCTTGCACATCTTCATCCATTTTCTGCTTTTTGGTCGATGGTTTCATGAAAAACCTGTCCAAAGTCGTTTGTTTTTCTCTTTTCTCCAACATCTGCCGGAAATAACGGACAAGAGTATCGGAGTAAAGATCGTTGATCCTGTTTGCTTCAGCTGAATCCGGATAGTGGGCATTGGTAAACTCCTGAACTGCTTTCCATTTGACCAGGATGTTCTTGATGTCAGCAGTTGGGATTGGTTGATTGTTTGATTGTTGCTCCTCGTTATCAGATGACGCTTCCCTTTGAGCATTGTCCTGTTTCATTTCAACAGAAATCACCTTCCTGCTTTTTTTAGAAGCCATGATATAAAAAAAATATTGAGTTTAACTTAAAAGGACGACTGCCGTGATACGTGCGTGATTTAATTCGTAATGAAGAACGATTGCCGCGATACGTGCTTAAGTTAAGCGCAGTGACTAACGACTGCCTGCAGTGCCTGCGCGGAAGGATGCAATACATCGGCAGCGATCGTGGAAGCTCGGGCGACTTCGCTGTGTGAAACGAAGTTCGTTGTATGAATCATGAAATGAAGTTCGTTGTGTGCAGCGTTCGCTGTGCGAGGCGTTCTTTATGCGAGGCACCACTGTATTTCATGTACCTACACAATTGTAATGCTTCTTTTGACCCACCCTCTATGCTGATGGAAGGCATGGATGTGGTCTCATTAGATGTTTCCACAATGCACCACTCCTTGCAGGAGCCAGGCTTTATGAAATCAGAATCCCTTCTCCCAAATTGCCCATGCAAACTCATTCATCTCCAAAATGCCTTCAGATCACCAGTTTCATTCCCTGGAAGAGGCTAAGAAAGGCTTATTTTCTCTTCGCTAACAGGAGACAGCTGTGAGAACTTTATGTTTTCCTATTACACATGGTACAAGTGTACATTATATCTTCTTTCTAACTGAGCTCATGGACTTCACCTTCTTTACCTTCATTGTTGGCTTATCCTTTGCAGTCCATATCATGTCTCAAGATATTTTTTCCTTGGTGGTGGTATAATTTTACTTTCTATTTGATATTGAGAAAATTCCTATGTGTAATATGTATTCTCTCTCTTATAGGATCTACACAAGCTAAGACCTGATCATACCAAGATGAAATATGTGGGAGACCCTGATCTCACCACTTGTTCACCAAAAAGGAAACATGTCATGACATCTATAGCACCTCCAATCAAAGGTGTTGAGAGAAGTGCCTGCTTACCTTCTGGATCAAAGAATGGGCAGGAAAGGCCGGTCACAGACTCCCCTCAGACAGAAGGCACACACTTCGTCCAGGATCCCACCCATAGTGTCCATGAGAAGGATGACAGACCCCACTCTGCCTTCATGATCCAGGGCCTGGACCAAACACTCATCCACCAGCCACATGACAAATTCCCTGATGGGAACTCACACAGCATCCAACATGCTTCTGCACACAGTGTGGGCCAGGACTCTGATCTCATCATCAAGGTGCCTGGCAAGAGAGCTGCCAGGACCTCCAGCCAGACCTGCCAGAAGCCCACAAAGAAATCCAGACTCAGCCCCTGTGTGAAGAGCACACAGAGTCCTGACCTCCAGCCTCTGCACCAGGGCCCTCCCATCAAGACTCTCCAGCCCTTCCAGCTGTCTCCATTCCCACCAATTCCAGGCCAGCTCCTCAGTAAGGTCTTCATGACATTAGACAAAGGCCAGTGGAGCAACAGACACATGACACCTCCATCCCTGCCTCCTGAGAAGCTCAGCACTCCTGCTCAGATTCCTTATACCCCAGAGAAGTCAGAGGCACTCTGTCCCTGTGTCCCTTTGAGTGTCCTCCTTGAGGCCCTTCAGCTTTCCTCTTCCTCTAAAGAAGGTGATGGCCAGTGAGACACTCCATGTCAGGGAAGACATGTTTTCAGCCCCTGGAGTTGCCTGAGGAACTGAAGAGTGGAAATCACTGGGAGCAAAAGTTTCTGGGAAATCAGTGCTTCCCTTTTGTTCTGTGTGGACAGATGGTGGGAAATCTAATTATGCTTGGGGCACACAGACCCAGTTATTGCTCTTTTAATTTATGTAGGTATAGTGATATTTTATAAGAAACTATAGTTTGTGCTAATTGAACTGGAAAGGGAAGTAGAGTTTTAGAAATTTCATCCATTGTAAAATTAAGCTAAGTTACAATAATTATCCTTAAAGTTGATTGGGAATAGGAGGCTGTGTAATGAATTTGTATTAGGTGTGCACCTGTGTGCTTTGGGGAACCTGGGACAGAGCCACCTGTGTAGTCTGTAGATTTGAAGCAGCACCTGTTGTCCTGAGATGAGATTGTTTCACGCTACTGTGTTATCTCAATGGAAATTAGGAGGGGGACCCTTCCCATGACTTTGCATCTTTGATTTATGGAATGTCATATTAAAGCTTTGTTTTAAATATAGTTTGTGTTTGGCATCAATAAAACTTTGCAAAATAGGTCACATTGTGATTGAATTTCATTTCTGTTCATTTTGAATCATTTGAAGAACACTGATTTGTTCCCAAAAGCTCATGTCAGTGAGAGTAGATGGGAATATGATGTACCTTGAGGTGGATGAGTTTGGGCAACACCTCTAGGTTCCTGTATCATGCCTTCCTCTCAGTCAAGATCGTCTCCTCCCTAAGGGGCACTAACAGCCTTTAAGGCCTCACCCTCCAAAGTTGTCCCTCTCTTGTGGTCCTTCAGCAGCCTTAGTACCCCTCCCTGGACATCTGAGTACCTGACCTTCCCATCAGCTTCCCAGAAGCACTCGCTGATTTTTGTGACTTGTGAACACATCTGTCCCCATCATCTCTGAGAATGAGAGCTCTCCACTAGTTCTAGGAAAAGGATCTCAAAGGCTGATTTGAGCAATGAATTTACTCATAGATCTGCTGTGTCTCCACATTTGTTAAATAATTTAAGGAAAAAAACCTTAGGTCAGCCAGTGAAAAGGTATGCCCTAGAGGCACAATGGAATTCACACCAGAGGTAAATTATGTGAATGTGGGAAAGCCGTTAGTGATGCCTCAGCCTTACAGGACACAGCATGACTCACACTGAAGAGGATCCATTAGAGCATCTTCCATGTAGGAAAAGCATTTTGCAAAGATATGATCTTGGAAACTACAACCAAATGCACATTGGAGAGAAGTCCAATGAGTGTCACGGCTGTGGGAATACCTTCAGTGAACATGCTAATCTCATAAGACAGCAGAGAACTCACACTGGAGAACAGTATATGCAAGTCACTTATGTGGGAAAACTTTCAGTCATTGTTCTTCCCTCAGAATACTGGAGGTAATCCAATACAGGAGAAGAAATCATGAAAGCCTCCAGTAGATAGTTTGACCTGACTGTCATGACATGGCATTACTTATTTAATAATTTATGGAAGAAATGTCAATCATAGCTTTAGCATTTGAACATACTGAAGACTCATACATGAAAGAAACACTCAGTAAGCAATGTGGGAGGTCCATTTATCTTCATACTCCTTGGACTGAAAGACCTTTAATATGGGGTGGATCCATCTCTATGCCATCTTTGTGTAATCTTTTAATCTTTGGTCAGAAAAAAATGACAACTCACATTGTAAACATGCTAATTTAGATGTCCTTGGAAACAGCTCTGAACTTTATAAAGATGCTTGACTCATTCTTCAGAGGAGAATGTGTAATGATTCATTTATAATTATTGGTAAAAGGAACCAATTTCACAAGGGAGAAATGCTAGGACTGCGGTCATATTTGACAAACATTCAGCCAACTTCCAGGTTTTGTGCACACTTTAAACTCAGAGAGGACAAACCACAAAACAGGAAATAAAAATATGAATCCTCATGAGGAAATGCAAACATTTTTTTTCACATCATTCACACTAGTGAAGTTACTCAGTGTAAAATCACAAGAAACCTTTTCTTCATAAAGCAATACTCATGGTAAATGTGAGCATCCATACTGTACAAACCACTGTATCAGAAAGACAAGGCATTTATTGATCACTTATTTCTCAGTCAAACTTAAGATTCCCAAAGCAAGGAGATAGCAATCTCTTTTTTTAATATATTTTATTGATTTTTCACAGAGAGGAAGAGAGAGGGATAGAGAGTTAGAAACATCAATGAGAGAGAATCATCGACCAGCTGCCTCTTGCACACTCCCCACTGGGGATGTGCCCGCAACCAAGGTACATGCCCTTGACCGGATTCAATCCCGGGACCTTTCAGTCCGCAGACCGACGCTCTACCGCTGAGCCACACTGGTGCCGGCGAGATAGCAATCTTAAATTCAAAGCAGAAATAGCTTAGTTAGATTTCATATAAACAATATAAGTGTATGTGCTAGTGTGTGTGTGTGTGTGTGTGTGTGTGTGTGTGTGTGTGTGTGTGTTTAAAGTTGTCAAAGAATCCTCATCTCCTAACAGGTTTGGCTCAGTAAATAGAGCATTGGGTTGTAGACTTAAGAGTCTGAGGTTAAATTCTGGCCAAGGGCACATGCCCATTTTGGGGCTATTCACAAGGGTGGGACATGTAGGAGGCAGTTTATCAATGATTCTATCTCATCATTGATGTTTCTATTTCTCTCTCCCTCTCCTTTCCTCTATGAAATCTATAAAATTATTTTTTTTAATTCTATTACACTCAACTCAGCAACTAATTGAGTTGTTAAGGAAATAAATGTGGTTTATAAACCTTATAAAATAAAATGTACAAGGCTAACATGATCTGGATGTATTGAATGTGGAATTTCAGATACAGCAATGCTGTCTGATATTTGACCAATTCAATATGTTGCTGAAGAAGCTGAATGTTGGTGTTCTAATTTTCCTTGTGCAGTTTTGAACACATACATTCAGGTCTGTACCCTTCAGCTGTGGGGAGAGAATCAGACCTCAGGTTCACACAACCCTTTCCCCAATGGCTGCTTGGAAACATTTCAGTTCTCTGCATCTATCTTCCCAACAACACCATGTCTTCTTCCAAACCCTGGTCATGACACAGCTATGGTCTTCAGCCTCACCTTCTAGGTGTCTCTGTGTGACATGACCCTGTTCAGGCAAGGTCATTGGGGCATATCAAGGCCTCTCACCTAAAAGTATTGGTGGCACCTCAGCCTAAATCTCGGTAACATGAGGACAGGAGACAGAATGATGCCCACACGGACCCATAAAGCTCTTGATTTTTGTTCTAAAAGCTCTCATTGAGCTACATGGTGGCTGTGGAGGGGTGGACAGGAAGTTTCCTAGCACACTCTATATCTTAGTTAAATCAGTATTTTTGAACCCACCACCTACCCTTTATTGAACCTTAGCTGTTTCTCCCCCATCTCAAGGAGCTGCTCAGAAAATAAATCTGCAATAAGATAATTTTCCTAATCCTATTAGCCAATACCTGTGCTGCTTTTTAAATAATTTTAAAAAAAAAATTCGCTTGCCCCAAGCAAAATGAAAGGATTTTCCCACTTTGTTCCTAGAGAAGAAAATCTTGTCTTTCAACAAACACACTTATCAAACCTAAATATCAACGTGCTGACTTGTGCTCTTCCCAACAAGCAATGCAAACCACAGGCCTCACTGAGACCCAGTAAAGAAGTAATTCTGTGATTGAAATGGAAATATACTTTTTCCTAAAATCTCTCCCCAGGTGATTTCACTGTAGAGGCGGGATGGGGAAATGTTAACCACAACTGAGGAAGATGAGGAATTAAGTCTATAGTCTGCCTACAAGAATAGGTACCTCCCATCTGTAGTTGAATTCAGCTGCAATTCTGACACCTCTCAGAGACCAATCAAAGTGTGTGATTTCATGTCCTTGTTTTCCTTTGAAGGTCAACTTAAGTGCATAGAGCCACTATTTCTAACAACTTATGCAAAGGACATCCGAAGACTGTCCACCCTTGGGTTTTCAACTTCCTGTCAGTTGTCCATTGAAAGGCGATGTCCTCAGTAGTAAATCTCAAAACAGGCACCTGCCCCCCTGAAAACACTCAGACATTTTCATCTCCACCAAAATAGGCCACATCCACTGACACTCATTCCCTCCTCCTTTCACACAGCTCCCCTCCCCGCGATGGCACAGAAGAAGCTGCCGCCAACATCAGTGGGCTGAGATGTGGGAACCCAGAGGACCCTGAGGCTCTCAGGAGAACCTGATGTCAGAGCCCCTGGTCTGTCAGTGTGATGTCCTGCTGGACACATGATGTGCAATGCAGGTCAGACTTCAGGGTCCAGGGGAGGACTCAGTGTGGCTCAGAGACTGTTTTGTAGGGAGCCCACCCAACCTCACATGTACACCAAGCACCAAGAAAATGAACTACTATATACGATACATTAGAATAACAATCACTGACAATGTACAGTACAACAACAAAAAAGTCCACTTGGGGAAAACATTGTAGAGTATTTTTTTTATTAGATACACATACTTTATTGATTTATTTTATTTTATTTTTATTTTTTTTATTTTTTACAGAGAGGAAAGGAGAGGGAGAGGGAGTTAGAAACGTGAGAGAGAAACACCATCAGCTGCCTCCTATACACTCCCTACTGGGGTTGTACCGGCAACCAAGGTACATGCCCTTCACATAAGGGAATCTGGGACCCTTCAATCTGCAGGCCAATGTTCTATCCACTGAGCCAAACTGGTTAGGGCGAAAGTTCTTTTTTTCTTAATGTAAAACACCCCTAACTTAAATGCTTGACAATAAATAAGTGGTAGCTAACACAATTAGAGTGGGGAAATTTTTTCATGAAAAAAACACTTTTGATAATTTTCAAAATTTCAATAGATTACATCTGCAGACATGAGAGACAAACATAATAATTTATAATTATGAAAATTAGACCCAGGAGGTATATGCAGTTTCTCATAATTCACACAGTAAAAATGACATATTTTTCAGAGAAGACACCACTAAGCCTGACTTGGGAGAGTGATTCTGAAAGTGGGCCATCCCAACTTGTGTGGCAGAAAGTGGATTGGAGTGCGTTGAAGTCAGTGGCAGGACAAGCAGGGACAAACAGCCTCTGGGAGACCTTTTGGACAGGCTGAAAAAAGGGGTGAGGGACCCAAGGGATGCAGCCAGGGTTTAATGGCCTTGACCAGGGTCACTTTGGTGGCACATTCATCAATAATAAAGAAAAGACAAGTAAGAAAGTCACTGGAAGTTCAAATATATTAAAATTCTAAAATGAAAAACTACCCAGAGTGTCCACAGATTGATATCAGACACACCCCAACTGTACATGTGCCAACTGGTGCTAAATTGAGTGACCATAGTTGAGCAAAATAGCCGATGGAATTGTGGGAAACACTTTTATGTACTGTGTAATTTCACAGTTTTATAGGAAACTATAGTTACTGCTTATACAGGGGGCAAAGGAATATGATTATTTTTGTAAAGTTGAATCCATTATATAGAAAATTAGGTTGCAATACTGCCCTCAAAATCTCATG